ATAAAGAACAGGTTGGAATTCTACTTGGAGAAAAACCAATTGCTCCCAAGCTCGCAATATGGATTTCGAAAAGGACGGTCTACTCAAGACTTACTGATAAAGTTAACAACTGATATCCAAATTGGATTTTCGAATAACACGCATACTTCTGTAATATTTTTAGACGTTATGGGAGCTTATGATAATGTAGACTTGAATATACTATACAGTAAAATTATAAATATTGGTCTTCCAAAAGAACTTGCCAACCATTTGTTATTACTGTATAGCAATAGAAACATTTTCATCAGAGCCTCTGAGCAGACTATTGGACCACGATCAACATCTAAAGGACTAGCACAAGGGAGTATATTGAGTCCCATCTTGTATATAATATATTCCTATGACTTTGAAAGAGCTTTTAATTCAAGAGATGCTAAAATATATCAGTTTGCAGATGACTATGCCATTAGTATCCAGAACAAAAATTTATCTCAATCTATGGAACTTCTAGAAACAGCGACTTCCATTGCACACGAATGGTTTGAGAATAATGGATCTTCCATTGCCTACTCAAAATCTTGTGTATGTACGTTTACCAGATCTCGTCTTAGTCCTTCAAATATCATCACTCTGGCTGGGCAGAATATATCTTATAAAACTTCTGTCAAATATCTAGGAGTTATCCTAGATAAAAAACTTAACTGGAAAGAACATATTACATACATATTAAAGAGAAGTCAGAATGCTTTTAACATTCTGAAGTCCTTTTCACATCGGAAATGGGGAGGCAGATCCAGCAGTGTGCTTAACCTTTTACAGGACCTTAGTTCGATCAATCTTGGACTACGGATCAATCCTTTATGGTAAATGCATCTAAATTCATCTTCAAAAAATAGAACAGATCAAAAATAGTGCCTTAGGCTATGTATCGGATATTTGAATAGCACTTCCCATCAATGTCATGGAGGTCGAATGTATAGAACCTCCTCTTCAATTGAGACGACAAATGTTGAGCGATAAAGCCCTGGTTAAACTGGTCAGCAGGGGATTCATTAACGAAGATCCACCAATTGTTTTATTCATGGATTAACAGCGAAATACTGGCAACACAAAAAGGCTCCTCTGATCATAGAGAGTTATGAGTGGCTTCTTCCTACCGTCAAGAAGGTACACTCTAATCAAATCAATCATGTTTCATACCTGAATATTCGGCATATAACTCTCCACCCGAAGTAATCTCTACGAAATATTCCGAACTAGATTTATCAACACCTTATAAATTCCGGCATGATATTCGAACACGATGGAGTGGATGGGAATATATCTTCAACGGATGGTTCGAAGAAAGACAATTTAGCGGGATGTTCATTTTATCACAGCAACAATTCGTATCACCAAGAATTCAAATTGCCACCTGAATGTTCGGTATACACAGCAGATCTGGTTGCGATCAACCAAGCTATTGAATACTGTTTCCAATTCCATGGAAATAAGAATTTTGTTATTTTTACCGACTGTAGAAGTGCTGTAACAAAATTGGAGAATTGTCACACCCCACTGCAGATCTTAATCATCTAATTGCGAACATCATCAAGCGCATTCAGGAGCTGAATAGAATCGACAAAACTATAACATAGTCTGATCAAAGGCCACTCATGTATAAAAGAAAACGAGATGGTAGATAATTTTGCAAAAAGAGCTACAACTAGAGGCGATTACGTTCCGGGCATGAGATTCCTTTACTGACGCTCATTTTCTGATCAGACAACGACTAAAGAATAATGGAATAACCATTACAAATCAGTCCAACAGAAAGTTACCTGAAACGTATACAAGAGAACTCTTCGAAGCAGACCTGGTTTCAAGGAATTACCAATCGTCCCTTACATTAGAACCGTGAGCAGAATAAGAAGTGGTCATGCCCTAACGCCCCATCATAAATCAAGAATTGGATACGGAGATGATCCACTTTGCAGTTGTGGAAATATAGGAACCTTGCAACACTTAATATTAGAATGTACAAGTTCTAACAACGAAAATTCTGAATTGTATAAAATTTTAGCGAATCACCTTCCTTTGCCTCTAAATTTAGAATCAATTCTCAGTTCTGAGAACCAGCAAGTTTACGAACTTTATACAAGCATTGTCGGAAAGTAGGCCTAACATTATAAAATGTAAATTACAGTAATTTTGTTTGAAAAAATGAAAAAAGAAGAAAATATTGAAAAAAAAGCAGATCAGTAAAAAAAAAAGCAGATCAGTAAAAAAAAGCAGATCAGAAAAAAAAACAAACAAAAAAAGAACAATCTTATAAACAAAATAGAGAAAAGGAAAAAATAAGTAAAAAGTATTGGTTGAAAAAAAAAAAAGAAATATGTGTCTGCATACTACAAAGTATAATAGAAATAATATATAATAGTAATATTTATTAAGTAATGGATGTTCTATTTTCTATTAAAGCATAGCATTATACTGAACATAAGGATCTGGCCAGTTGGTCATCGACCAGTGCCAATAACAGAACAAAAAAAAAAAAAAAATAAGAACTACATCAAACAGCAGGCGACCTGCGCGTTATAGTCAAGCGGAATCGCATACCAACCCTTTGTTGCGTGAGTCAGTAGAGTACACAGTCGAACAAGTTGGCAAGCCACAACGCCTCGGCTCCTACTGTGAAAAAGAATTAAATCGTGCGAAGTCCAAGACTAGGTATTAAGTGTCGGTCCGAATGACTGACATGGCACCATTGAAATAGTTCAGTGTCAATCCCCACATATTAGCAACCACTGATTGATACGGCGGTCATTGTGTTTACATATGGATTACTTTTCTTAATGGTAGATTTCAGGAAGACAGTGCAACCAGGCACAACAGACTTGCGAAGCATGTTTGCCATAGCCACTCGTTCAGATCATAATGTGAAGTTAAAACACCGTGATCCCAATATAACATCTGAAATTTATTCTGTGGTTTTCATATCGATAATTCCCCATGTTTGTTTGGTTAATGAAATCACATATATTTGAAACTCTTTTTTATTGTCACAACGATGGCCTCCTTCAGCACACGTCACTTTTGTCAGATAGATAAAATATTTTCAAAACTCGAACTATAGATGTTCTGGAAACTCAAAATTCCGGGACCGGTTTCAGATTTTTGGTTCACTTGAACTTATCAAGTGATCGCTCTGTAAGTTATACTTTGAGTTTATTATCATTTCGCACAACATTGTGCAATACATCATATAAATAAGCGCAAGAATTAATGTTATGCACCCCATTTAGCTTCTTCAGTAATTTTTAATAATATAAATTCTACTAACTGATGTTATACAACAAGAATCGTGCTTTAAAGAGAAACGGCATTCAATATACAAATGCACTGAATTTTACCCTTCAGACCAATTCAAATTATGATAAAAATGTAAAAAACCTAATATATAGGCCCGAGCACGGTATTTTCATAGTCACGTTTACGAGGTCTCACCACAACCCTATATTAGATTTATTTACATAATGCACATATGGTACATCACACAATTAAATATCATGCCCGGGCTTGAATACTACCTTTTTTGGATTTTTAGCTTAATTTCAAGTTGGTCTGGACGGTGGAATTTAGTCGAATTGCATATTAAATGCCGCTTCCCTTTTTAACAAGAGCTCGTGTACAGTATCAGTTGGTTGACATAAATCATAAAAAACTTACCGAAAAATTAAATAGGGAACATAGTACTAATTTTACCTTTTATTTATATCCTGTTTTGGTATTTTTTTTGTTTGAGTTTCCGAAACATCTTTAGTTCGGTTTAAAGCATTGTTTTGCAAAATTTTGATGAAATAAAGTTGATAAACCTTGAAATTTTGGCTTTTGGCTTAAAAAGGCGCAATCGATCTATACTATGTGACATATAAATCCGAACACCCAGTTTAAATGGTTTTATTTTAATAAAATTTTGTATAAGTACTTAATGAAGCATAATAAGTAAATGATAAAAATTTCAAAATGATTGCACTGCTTTAAAGCCCTTTGACCTTTAATAATGTGTGGATGCACCGTGATGTGTTACGCATTCTCCAACGCGCCTAGGCATGCTTCTGATCAGGTGGTCAATGTCCTCCTGTGGTATCTCATTCCAGGCAACCACCAACTCTTCTCGAAGTGCTTCTAGAGTCTGAGGAGGACGTTGCAAATTGAGCAATCTCCTACCCATCATATCCCACACGTGCTCAATTGGGGATAAGTCGGGAGATCTTGGTGGCCATGGTAACAATGTGACATCATTATGTTGAAAGAAGTCTATTGTGACTCTTGCAACATGTGGTCGGGCATTATCTTGTTGGAAAGTTGGATCTGCCAGGGTGGCAAGATAGGGTAAAAGATGGGGTTCTAGAACTTCGTGGATATAACGCTGCGCGTTCATGTTACCTCTGATGAAGATTAAAGGTGACCTGGAACCATAAGCTATAGCATCCCAAACCATAACTCCAACAGTGTGATGAACATGTCTTTCAAAAAAACTGTGGATTCCTCCTTTCACCACGTCGCCTTTTAACCCTGGCATCGTGCATGCCTAAACAAAATCGAGACTCGTCACTAAAGACAATACTGTTCCATTCCTGATCCAGAGCGACCGTTGTCTGCATCACTCAAGGCGATTACGTCGGTGTTCTCGAGTTAAATGGAGGACCCAGTGTGGCCGGTATGAAAACAAGCCAAAACTTCTCATTCCTCGGTAAATACTTCGCATGCCAATAGGTCTTCCGTGTTCTGCAAACCATTCATTTGCAATGGACCTGCTAGTGGAGAAACGGTCCCTTAAGGTCAATAATCACGGTCTGTTGTTCTACGGCGGCGTCCAGTGCCCCTTGCTCTTTGCGTACGGCCTTCTCGAAGCCATGCCTGACAACACCTAACCACAGTGTCTACACTTCCTTGCACTCTAACTGCAATTGCCCGAAAAGAAAGTCCACCTTCCTGAAGCCCCACTATACGGCTCCTATCAAACACTAAGTTGACGAAATTGTACAGGTCTCCGTACTCTAGGCATCGTAACCGATCGTAAAGGATGTCAAGAACCAAAATCCGCCAACGTTGATTCTTTACTGCGGCTGAAATATTCATTTTTAGAGCGTTAGTGAATTAAAAAAAAAGCAGTATAAAAACCGGAATGTCCAACTGATAAAGCTGAAAATTTTTTCACTTGTTATTTACAGTAAGATAAATAGATTCACCAACTTTTATTAAAATAAAACCATTTAAACTGGGTGTTCGGATTTATATGTCACTTAGTATATTTGACTAATTGGTTAGCAATCTTCATTGCTTTTTTTTCTCTTCTACGTAAAATGTGTTGATTTTGATAGAAAACAAGAAAGTTGAAAAACCTAGCCCGGCCCTGGATTTTTCAACCATGCAACGGATTTTTCGTTACTCCTGGGTAATTCTGTTATCGTTCAAAATTTCAAATGGTACCCAAGATGTGTGATATTAAAGATTTGGCGTATTTAGGTAAATCCGAACTAAACTGAATCTGGAACTTTTTTACTTTCTGATATGAAAACGTCTTGGTCCATACTACCTAACATTTCACCATGTCCATTTAAGTACGACACACTTTGTATAGAGATGTTACGAGCAAAGACGATAATCGGGCGCTAACATTATTGGTCGGACAATGACGTGATGCCCGTTCTTCTTGGATAATTTCACGTCTAGGCGTTCACGGTAATCCCACTGCGGAACAACAAGTTTGTTAATATTCTCATTTTAATGGAGTTGTCCGATCATTGCTAAGGATAACCAAGAAGGGCTAAGGATATTGATATGGTACAAATCTTGAGATAATCGCAGCTTCGAAAAAAAACTAAAAACAGCCAGGAC